GCCGCGGCGGCCCGAGCGGGGAGACCCGGGCGGCGAGCGGCGCCCCTCCCCCCGCCGGCCCTCCGCGGGAAGGTGACCTCTCGAGGTAGCCCCAGCCGGAGGACCCGGCTAACCAGCCCTATCCCTTCCCGCCGTCCCCAGCCCCTAACCCCCTCGTGTGCTAGGAGGAATTTCCTGACGCCCCTTCCCCGTTTCCTCCCTAGTATGGAGAGAAGCCTTTGCCACCCCTTTTTTACTCCCTTCTGCTGAGAAGACCCATCTAAACCCTTTCTGGCCCCAGAGTCCAGAGAAAGGATGATCAGTGTCAGTGGTCAGGGTGCCGGGGGCCACCCGTGTGCTTTGTCGAGACTCTACCTCAAGTCTCGACTTGGTGACAGTCAGTTTGCCTCCCCTCCCCCACACTTCCGAGTGGGCTGCGCTTTAGTTTTTATGGGGGTGGACCAAGGGAGGTTTTAAAGAGTGTCATTACCCCACCAAACAGTTTTAGGAGAAATGGTTTGAAATTTGCTGTGACATGGGCAGGGTGGGACTAGCCCTCCCCGAACCTTTGGAAGGAGCTCCTGCCAGCCTTGCAAACAAACTGTGTCCTGGGGAAATGGGGCGTTGGAGCAGGAGCAGGTGGTTTTTTGGAACTGGAAACTTGCCCACCCAACTTGCTTCTCAAAGTCGCCTAAGAGGTCCATTGCCACCCTCCCTTACACCTTCCCCCACCACAGAGTCCCCTTGGAGAGAGGCAGAAGGGAGGAAGTGGGCTGGGGTCCCTGCTGCCACCCTGAGTTCCTTAGACCCTGGCACAAAGGCCTTGGCTCCAGGCCTCCGAGGGAGGGGGGAGGGGGAGGAGTGGCTGCCTGGCCACAGTGTGACCTTCAGAGGCCCCCAGAGAAGGGCACCTGGCCCCTCCCCGCCCAGAACCGCCCCTCCCAGTGCCCCCTGGCCTTGGAGGGGGTATGAAGTTTCTGTCCCCTTTCCTTGTTGGGGCCCAGAAGCAGTGGAAGGCATAGGGAGAATGTTGGCAGAGGGAAGCTGGGGGTCTCCTGAGGATGGGTGAAGGGCTCAGGTGGAGACTCCTGAGGGAGCTGCAGTGGGAGGGCTATCCCTAGAAACTGTTATCTGACCTTGGCCCTGGGGGCAAGGCTGGGGTATCTGGGGTGTGCTGGGGGTGTGTGGGGAGGAGAGAGAGACACGGACAGACTAGGAGCCTCCCTCTCAGTGAGGTCTGCAGCTCTGTGGGTTAGAGTGCAGCTCTGCTGCTCAGGATCTGCCCTGCAAGAGGGCAGGTGGGGTGGCAGTCGGTAAGAACTGGAGACCCTCTGGAAGGGCTGGGAGAAGCTTTTGCCTGCCCGGTGCTGTCAAGTCCACATGGTTGGGCTTGTTGACCTTCACAGCTTCTGGGGAGGGGAGGAATGATCTGGTGGGGGTGGGGAGGGATGGAGGACGCCTCCGCCTAGGTAGTGCAGGGGGCCCCCTAGAGGCTGGGCAGTGCTAAGGCATAAAAAGCTTCTCTGGTTGCATTTGAGGAAGGTGCCCAGGTGAGAGGGACTTGGAAGCCCCTCAGTCTGGAGAGAGAAGAAACCAGGGACCCAGGTGGGAGTGGGAGGCTCGAGGCTTTGGAAATACATTCAGGCTCTGGGGAGATTTGTGCAGGGGGAAAAATGGGGCTCTCCCCTCCCCCAGAGTTTCCTCCCAGGTTTTATGCTTTAGGCAACCTGTGGGTTTGCTGAATATTCCTGAGGACTGGAGAGTTTGGATGGGGGAGGGTGGTTGGTGCCCTTCGGTCCTCTGCACCTCCCCCGTCCCCAACACCAACTCACCCTGGTATTTGTCATGTCAGCGGGAGAAGGTCACCATGTTGTTTTTCTTGCCCCCAGTCCTTCCTTCTTGCTCCAGTCCAAATTTGTCCTCCTATTTGACCTTAATGCTTACCCGTGGCTTTGGACCAGGGAGTCAGGGGGGCTGAGAAGATTCACTTCTCTTAGCTCAGCAGTGGGCCAGTGAGAGCAGGGAAGGGAAGGGAAATGTGGGAAGGGGTGGGGACCTGGACAGTGCAGCATTCTGGGGCTCTCCCCTGTATTTGTAACTCCCTACCCCTCAATATCAGTCTTTATCTTCCTTGGCTTCAGAATTGGAGCAGTCCGGGGGTGGTGGGCATGCTCTGTGCAGTGGGGAGCTCCCCGGCGGTGCCCTGTTCCACTCAGAAGCCTTGGAGGAGCCAGAGGCTGTGGACTGGGAGGGACGTGAGGAGGGAGCAGGGCTGGGTGGCTGGGCCTCTTCATGCTCTCCCGTGCCCATGGCCATGCTTCGTTCTTTGTTTTGTCTTCAGTGGTCCCAGGCTGCACCCATGGCAGGAGGAGAGCACAAAACCCACGAAGGTGAGTCTCCTGGCTCTTGGGTGGGGTCCCCTGACCCCCTTGGGGATGGGTGGGGAGGCCCGATTCCTTCTTTTCAGGTCTGGGGTGGGGGTAAAGGGAAGGGGCACAGAAATATGAGAATTAAGAAAGGAAGCAGTGAGCACTGGGAGATTAACCTTCTGTTCTGGAGGACTCTCTTACTCAGGCCTCTGCTAGAAATAGGACTTGTGGCCTTTTTCTTCTGCTCTTTCCAGTAAGATTTTATTTGGGGAGGGAGCCGTGAGCACAGACCAGGCAGACAAACAGTGTTCAGGAGTCCCAGATGTCAAGGGAGGTGTCCCTTGTCCCCTCTGCTCCCAGAGGAAGATGAGTATTCCATGTCACTTCCAGCCCAGCCGTGTCCCACCTGTAGGGTCTTTGTGGAGGGGGCTGTGACCCTTGCTATCCAGAAAGCTGGCTGTGCCTTAGCTGGAGGCTCAGAGGGCCCAGCCTCATGGGACCCCCTCCCCCCAGTCTGCATTCCTTTTTGGGTGGAGAGGAAAAGCTACAGCTTCTCCCTGCTCTCCGGGTGGAGTAGGATTAGGTGCTGTGAACTTCCCTCTTGGGCCAGCAGAGGGCTGGCTGTAGCTCCCAGGCACCCCCCCCACCCTTGCCCAACCCGAGTCCGCCTGCCTTTTGCTGCCTTTTGTTCTGGTGGCCGGCAGCCGTGGTTTGGAGTATGGGATCCTCCCATTTCTCTAGGGATGCCCTGGCTCTCCCCCCACACTGAATGTGGCCTCTGCTCCAGCCTGGGGGAGGAGTGCCCAATGCCACTCCCCCCAGCTCCCCACCTCTGAGGAGGGCCACCCAAATCCAGGATGGCCCAGGGTAGTGGCCAGGCACGGTGTTTGCACTGCCCGGCCCATGGTGATGCCCAGCCGATTCTACCTCCTTCCCCACCCCGGAGCCCTTTCCTTGGCTGAGGCCTGGCTTCCCAGCCACCCCACAGCCTGTGTCACTGACAGGCCCCACTCCCAGTGCACCCACCCCTTCAGCCTCCAAGTGGCCTCTGTGGTCTGGGAGAGGCAAGACAAATGATCTTTGTTTGCTGGGGAAAAGGTTGTCTTCAAGAAATGAGGAAAACCACGAAAGTCTGATGTTAGAGTGTATGTGTGTCCACACCCCGTGCAAAAGCAGGAGGGACAGCTTTCTGGAGGCAGTGGCTAGGGTGCGAAGGGTGCAGGTGAGATTGCCCCCTCCACCTCCCACGGGCCTTGGGGCCTCCAGGGAGCTTTTCCAAGGAATTCTCAGTCTGGGTCTTTTTACCTTCAGCTACCAACTGCCATAGCCCAGGCCAGACCTTTCTGCTATCCTGTCCTGGGAGGGGGCTTGTGGCCCCAAAGCCTGGGCCACCTCTGTCCCCAAACACAACGAAGTGTCAGGTGAAGAATTCTTGATTAGTCATCTTCTTCAATATAGCTTTGGTTAAGAAAGGACTTCTTCACATCCATGGTCTTGTTTTTCCTCTTTTTGACAAGGCTTTACCTTAACCCTTTTGTGAGTGGAGAAGAATTCCATGCCCGCTGTCTGGATAGGGGAAGTAGAGACCTCAGGCAAGGCCGGGGACTGGCTTGGGGACCCCCACTGTTCTCCTTTCTGTTTTCACACCTGTGGCCCCAACTTCCCCTCAACCCACCTGTTGTATATATACCCCCAGGGCTCATCTTCCTTTACCCTTCTGGAGGGAGGAGTGAGGGAGGGCTCAGCTACAGTCTCTGGGGAGAGGCAGGCTAGGGGGTATGAGCTTCAGATGCCTTGGTGAGGCTCCAAACCTTGTGTCACCTGGGCTGAGAAAGGGATGCTTATTCTCAGGGCTGGAAATGGAAGACAAAACCCCACGTTTCAGCCTCTGTTTCAGTGTCTTTTGAGATCAGCCCAACCCACTTACACAGATGTGCAGAGTCTGAGGCCCAGAGAGGGAGGGACTGGGCCAAGGTCATACCAAGTCATGGCCAGAGCCTCTTTGCTGGCTGGGTGCTGCTTCTTCTGTCCTGTCTAGAGGAAACTCATTTCAGGGACAGGATTGCTGTGGGGTGATGGGGAGTGGCAGGCTGGGCCACAATTTAGAGTAATCACTCTGGGGTCCTGAGTTCATTTATTCTCAGAATGGCCCAGAATAACCCCTTCACGCTTCCATGCACCCCAGACTCTGCGGCCAGCCTGAGAAGCTGTCTTTACCCTGGTCTCCCTCCAGATTAGCTTCTAGAAATGCTTGTGGCTGCAGTGGCAGCACCGTTTTTTCCATGATGCAAGCAGTTTGCCCTCTTGGGCGGGGTTATCGGTGGCTGGCAGGGCCTGCACAGCGTGCCCGCCCACTGCCACCTGCTGATTCCAGGCAGGCCCAGCCCCTGTGCTGATGCCCACCACCTCCTTAGCCCATGTTTGGGGAGAGGGTCTGGCAGGTGCCAAGGTGCCCCCTTGATGCTTCCCCTCTGTTTACACATGACATCAGTGTGGGAAGGCTTTGATGTCAGAGCTGATTTTAACTCTACCACTTACTGGCAATGTGGCCTTGGGGCAAGTTACTCAACCTCCCTGAGCCTCCAGTCCCCCATTTGTAAAATGGGGGTGCTACTAGAACCTCATGGTACCATGTGGGGAGAGTTGTTTGAGATGACAACTGTGGACGACTGTACACTGTGCCCCACATATACTAAGTGCTCATTAAATGGTTGTTGGTGTGGTTGATGGGCTGGCAGTGGCCATGGGGAGGTTGTGGGGAAGCAGGGGGTGGGTTTGCCAAGCTGGCTGTTCTTCCTTTCATGGGAAGCTTAGAGCACCCCCAACGCGGATGCTCACACTCAAACTTGTCCTCTGGCGTCAAGGTTGACCCAGGAATTGGCTTGGCTGTCATGGTGAGGCAGGGGGATCAGATGTGGCAGGCCGTCTCCCTTGGAATCTGATAGCATCATATGATCTTTGGAATAAAAACAGGCCTCCTGATGGTGGAACGCTTAGGGAAGGACTTCAACCACAGCTGGAGGGACTTAAGTTAGATTTTTGGAAGGACTTGCTTGATAGTGGGTGCCTCTCACAGAAACCTGGAGGAGTGGCCTTACAAAGCTGGGTGGAGATAGGGGTCGGCCATCTCTTGTGTGACCTGCTGGGCTCATGCGTCACCACCTCCCATGCAGTGGTGAAGTTCATGGACGTCTACCAGCGCAGCTACTGCCGTCCAATCGAGACCCTGGTGGACATCTTCCAGGAGTACCCCGATGAGATTGAGTACATCTTCAAGCCGTCCTGTGTGCCCCTGATGCGGTGTGGGGGCTGCTGCAACGATGAGGGCCTGGAGTGCGTGCCCACCGAGGAGTTCAACATCACCATGCAGGTGGGCATCTGCAGGGCTGGGGCACGGGGTGGGCATGTTAGACTTGGAAGACATGTGGCCCTTTCCTGGGCAGCTCTTGTGAGGAGGAGCCAGATCTGCCTGCCCAGCTCCTGACTCTGAGTCAGTCAGGGTGGGTGTGGGAGGTCTTGCCCTCTTTGGAGGAAAAGATGCTTGCATTTCCCAGTCCAGGTTCCCAGCAAGCCCTGACTACCTCCTCCTCCTCCCTGATCTGTGGCCTCTGGGCTCAGGAGGGGGCTGATGCCTGTGACAGGAGCCCCTCTGATCCTCTCTTGGAGGAAGAGGGCGCTCCCTCCTTGGGGCTCTGTCTGGGAAGCTGGATGCGCCTTGCCTGTGGAGAGTTTACAAAGCCAGTCGTTTGATGCTGCCTGGTGACAGGGCACATCTCAGCCTGGGGGACGGGGCAGGAGGGAGCTCTGAGACCCCAGAGACGAGTGGCTCTTGGGTAGCTACTAGGGGTCAGGGTGAGGCCTAGAAGGGATGAAAGGAGGGAAGGGATGGGGAGTGGCAAGAACCCAGGACCTGAATTCCCAGCCTGGCCAACCCTTGCAGCCATGTCTGCCCTCAAGAGGAGCAGGGGCTCCTTGAGGTCAGCAGGGTTGGGGGAGTTGGGGTGGGCCTGAGGCTCTTTCTGGTAGAGCCCCTGGTCCCCCTTACCTCCACCACCCATCCCGGCTCTGTCGAACCCCTGGGTGCTGAGTGGCAGGAGCCACGGGGGTGTCCCATTTGGGTATGGCTGGCTGGGTCACTAACCTCTGTGATCTGCTTCCTTTCCCTCCAGATTATGCGGATCAAACCTCACCAAAGCCAGCACATAGGAGAGATGAGCTTCCTACAGCACAACAAATGTGAATGCAGGTGAGGATGGAGTCCCAGATTCATTTGCCCATCGAATGGCTGCAGGGTGCCTGCTCTGTGCCAGGGTTAAGCACGTTCCACTTGTTAGCCCATTTCCCCCTTCCAGCTGTGTAACCTTGGGCATTTTAATTTCATTTTAATGTGCCTTGGTTTCCACATCTGTAAAATGGGCACAATAATAGTATGTACCTCATAGCATTGTTATAACGATTGAGTTATTATATGTAAATAGACTAAAACTGTGTTGGTATAGCATAAATACTATGTTAAGTTTTTATTATTATTATCATTATCATCACCATCTGAACCCCTCTGTTTTGTTGTTTTCTCTTTCTCTACCCACTACAGACCAAAGAAAGATAAAGGAAAGCAAGAAAAGTAAGTGGCCATGACTTCAGCTCTTCTCCCTCTTCTTGGCCAGTTGTCTTGATCTGGGGCTCTTCGCTTCCTCTGTCAGGGGGTCTGATGGCTTCACTGGGTCACGGAGTTGGTCTCATGGAAACTTGTGGTGGCAGCAGTGGGATGGAGCAAACCCCAAGAATTATGACTCTAGAATTAGTGACAGCACCCACTCTGGAGCCTGGAGCTTCCTTTGGAAGAGACGATGTGTTCCAGGTCTCCAGGTCATTCCTGGCCAGGACTTGCCGTTTCAGTGTGTCGGGGGGCAGTGTGGACACTGGCTTGTTCTAGCCTCTCATCACTCTCAGCAGGGAGAGAAAGTGGGTGGCAGAGAGGCCGGCTTTGGTGTGTCAGAGGAAACGGCCTCTGAAGGCGGCTGCTGTGGTGGTACAGTTGGATTTGGGACTGGCTGGCGTGTTTTCGTGGTGCATGCCCTCCTGTAGGAGCGAGGCAGGCCAAAGACACTCAGCCCTCTTGGCCAGGGAGAAAGAGTTGAATGTTTGTCATTTTCTGAGGCTTCCAGTTGCTCAGTGTGGAGGGTCGGGTCAGGATGGAGTGGTGGGCGGGGGGGCAAGATCTGGGGGCAGTGAGCCTTCAAGACAGAGTGAGCAGCTGGCATGGGGGACGAGCCTGCAGGGAAAGAGACTGAGAGAGAGCACCTATACCCTTCCCTCCTCCCCTCCCCCACCATCCTGTCTGCCCCCAACACTCTGGGGACATTGAAGCCCCCTAGGCCTCAACCCCTTGCCTCTTCCCTAAGTCCCCAACTTCCAGGATTGCTGTGGCTACCGGAGCAGTAATTTGGGAGAGTAGGCTCAGAGAGAGAGAGAGAGAGAGTGTGTGTGCACGTGTATGTGTGTATGTGCACATGTGTGTGCATAAAGACCTTCCTCCTTTCAGTGCTTTCTCCTGAGAGGGAACAGACTTGCCCTCTCCTCGGTCCTTCCTGCCTTGTTTCTTCCCCTGTGGCAGACACTCTGAGGGGCATTCTCTCAGGCCTGGCAGGTGTGGAGAGCGCTGGTTCCCTTGAGGTGTACAGGCTTCAGCCTGCCCCGCTAGCCTGGTTCCCAAGCACCTGCTTTGCCCACAGGGAGAGTGGGGGGCTCGCCTGGGCTCGGAAGAGAGTATGGTGAGACGGTGCAGCAGGCTTTGACAGGCTGGGGAGAGAGCTCCCTGCCAAGGGAGCCCAGGCCACTCCTCCCCATGCCTCCCTAACTCCGACCCCACCCTGCTGCTTGCCTGGGGCTCTGAGGACCCAGGTGATGGCTGGGCGGGCTGGTGCCTCTCATGTGCCGCCCTTGGTTTGGTGCCAGCTCCCAGTGTAGCTGCTCCCCCACCCTGGGATTCACAGAGGCAGGGCCCCTGGAGGGACCCTCTTGCTATTGCACTTGGAAATGAAGGCAGAAGGTCCCTGAAGCACAGCCTGTCCCCCCTCCCCCCATCAAGTCAGGTCTCTGACCTTCTCCCCAAACTGGCCTACCTGTCATAGCCCCCTGACCTTCAGGGTCAGACTTGTACAGTTGCTGGGCAAAGAGCCTGCCCTCTGGGCTTTGCCCCCTGCCTGGGACCAAGAGCCTCTGTGAGCATGGAGGCCCCTGGGTCCTGTGCCCTCCATCCAGCCTCTGCTCCCCATCCAGAGCCTCGCCGGGGGCTGGGTTTGCCAGCGTAGGGTGGCCAAAGTGAGACGAGGGAGCCATTGAGTGTGTGCTGCCCCAGCCCACGTGTGTGTGCGCGTGTGCAAGCTCTCTCCTGGAGCCCGCCTGCCTCCCATCGCCTCGTTCCAGGGACCGTGGCCTGTACCCTGCCCCCTCACTGCTTCTTTTCCTTTCCCCTTCCCCCTCGCTCTCTCTCTGTCTCTGTGTTTTTATTTTCCAGAAAATCAGTTCCAGGAAAGGGAAAGGGGCAAAAAAGAAAGCGCAAGAAATCCCGGTATAAACTCTGGAGCGTGTACGTGGTGCCGCTGCTTTCTCAGTTCCCGGAGCTTCCCTGGCCCCCAATCCATCTCCCGCCTGCAGGACCCCGTAACCCCGCCTCCCTCCCTCCCCGTCGCTCAGCCTCCCCTCCAGCAGCGGCCCTAGTGTCTCTCTCTCACTCTCACTGCACTAATTGGCACCAGTGGGTAGACTTGGTGGTGGCGTTGCTGCTCCAGGGTTGGGGGTGGCTGGGGGCCAAGTGGACCTGGAGGATTCAGGGAGGGGACTCTGGCTTGGCTGGGCACCGCCTTTCTCTCACCCACTGGGCACTGGTGGCAGGCCCATGTTGGCACGGGTGCTGGGAACTGGTGTCCACTCACCCAACTGGTTTCCACTGCTCTAGGCTTCTGCACTTGTCTGGAAGCTGAGGGTGGTGGGAGGGCAGACGTGGTGTGAGGAAGGGGTGTGAATGATGTGAGGCAGCTTGTTGTTGGAGGAGGTTGGGTGGGGTGAAGCACCATATGGCAGCCCCTCTTCGTGGACTTGGGGCCTCTGGAGGGGAGCCCCTAGTCCAGCCCAACCCATGGCACCGACTGGAAGTCTCTCTGTGGGGAGCCTTCTTCCTCTGGGTTGGAGGCTGTGGTGGGTCCTGCCGTGGGCCCTTTGGCCACCCCTGGCTTCGCCTGTGGACACTGCCTCTGGGCTTAGCTGCCGTCACACCCTACTTCCGCCTACCTTTGGTGGAAGGGCCTGGGCATGAGCCCTCACAGGGGGAGAAGGTGGTCCCCGATTGCCGTTCCCAGCAGGTGAAGAGTCAAGGTGTGCTCTTTTGGGGGCGGTAGCCGTTGGAGCCCTGTGGCCTGAGACTTGCACTTGTCTCTCTTATGGCAGCCCTCTCCTTGCACTCTCTGCCCATCTGTGCCTGCCTCTTCCTACGGGCAGGCTTCCTAGCCAGTGCTGCCTCTTTCCGCCGCCGCTCTATCTTCTGCTATAGTGCTCGGACTTTTCCAGGGTGTGGAAGGGTGTGGGGCCGATGAGCTGGGTGGGGGTGCCGCTGCGGACGTGTTAGGGGGTTGCATGGGTGTTTTTCTCTCTCTCTGCTGACGCTCTAGCTTAGATGTCTTTCCTTTTGCCTTTTTGCAGTCCCTGTGGGCCTTGCTCAGAGCGGAGAAAGCATTTGTTTGTACAAGATCCACAGACGTGTAAATGTTCCTGCAAAAACACAGACTCGCGTTGCAAGGCGAGGCAGCTTGAGTTAAACGAACGTACTTGCAGGTTGGTTCCCAGAGGGCGAGGAGTCAGAGAGCGGCTTCACACAGAGATGGGGAGAGAGAGAGAGAGAGAGAGAGAGCACCTGAGAGGGGCCAGCTGCTTGCTTGGCTTCTAGCTGCCTGCCTGGGGACTGCTGCCTTCTCTGCTCGCGAGGCCCCTGCAGTGGGCGGCGGGGGCTGGCCTGGCCTCACAGGGCCAGTTCCGAGGTCACCCTGGTCCCCTGAGTGGGTAGGCTGGTGTGGCTTAATGTGGTGTTGTGGACGCAAGCTGAGTGTTGTGTCCTGTGGTCCTGCTCGTAGTGGCTGTTGGTCCTGATGTTGTTATTTTTACCTTCGCTACTAATACTGGGGGCCCAGTCCAGTGTGGGGGACACTGCCGTCTACAAAGCGTACTCTCTTGGGGGCCTCGCACCGTCCTCTGAAGTCTGCACAGCTGGACTTCTCATCCCCTCACAGTCTCTCCATGAGGACAGAGGTTGAGTCCCTCCTCAGTCTGGGGTCCCAGAGGGCTGGGCTCTGGCTGTTGGTTTAGGGTGAGTATGAGATTTAACATCTGGGACGCTGGATACCTTTAATACTCCAGTAGTCTCTGCGACAATCCCAAATAGCTTACATATGTCCAAACGCCCTCAGGATGGGTGGAAGGAGGGGGCCATGCCCACTCTCCTAACATTAGATGGTGAACTCCTCATGCCCCGGCCTGGTTTTAATTCACCTGTGTGACCCCCCTGCCCCCACGCATCTTGTCCACAATGGGGGACCGAGGAAGTGTCAAGTCTGTGAGTGCCTACCTGACTGAGTTCAGGAGCACAGGGCCGGGACAGGTGGCTGGCAATCTTTTGATGCCTCGCCTGGTGTTTATACTAGTCTGGCCTGTGCTTAAAGGCAGGGAGCCCTCCGGGCCAGCGGCAGCTTCACCCAGGGAGGAGGGGCTTTTATGGGGCTTCCCCAGGCAGGCTGGGGTGCTCCCAGCCAGTCCAGATGCTCCATTAACAAAGTCCTTGGAGTGTGGCTGCCTCCCCCTCTACCCCCTGTTCCTGTGGCTTGTGGGTGTTCAGGGCATGCTGTGGACCAGGCCCTGGGATGTTGTTGTGGGGTTCTGTCTGTCTTGGTGCTATGTGAAGACACGTCGTGTGTACTAGTGCTGGGGATGGGGGCTCTGCCTAACTCGAGGGCTGGATGAGTGGGCTCCACATCCCCCAGGGGCCTTGGGGAAGATAAGGGACTTGCCATTTTAGAGTTTCTATGGTGATTCAGAGAGACTGTTTAGGATGGGGGATGTCTGAAGTGACCTAGGAGCTAACTGAAGTTATCCCAACCTCCAGAGACCTCCCCCAACACCTAACCCGGCTGTATGGGAGAATTTCAGTACCCCAAATTGGAGGCTTAGGATCCCCATTTCCAGGCTCTCAGAAGGGCAGGGCCTGCTCTGACCCCTCCTCACAGTGGGCAGGGTAAAGACCATCAGCCCCAGAGGAGGGGCATGATGAGAAAGTTCCTGGAGTCCCCTCTGCTTTGACGGGAGTAGCACAGCCACCAACCTTCTCCCCCACCCTGAGTTAAATAGCATGTTGGAAAGATGAGGCAGCCTAGTACCTGGGGCCTGCCGCTGCGAGCGAGCTCAAGAAAGATGAGGCCTGCAGCCAGGCCGGGAGGGAGGACATAGAGAAGGGAGATGTGTCCTTCACCTTCCTGAGGCCCCAGGCCCCACTGGCTCCGCCTCCCTTGGGAGCCTCACTTCCCTGGGAGCCCCCCCACCTGGCTCTGCATGGGCCCTTTGTGCTGCTCAGGGTGCTCTCCCCATTCCCTTTCCCAAAGCAGCCCCACAGGGAGCGAGCTGAAACCCCTCCCCTGCAGGGCCCCTTTCCGGATTAACGTGGTCCAACTCTGGTCACCCGTCAGCTCTCTATGTCGAGTAGGGCCTGTCCTTTGAACTGTGCGTGTTCATTTGTTACTTGTGATGAGTTGTCCCCACGTCCTTGTCTTGTCTCAGCTGGATTGTCAGCTCTAGAGGGCATACTGGGAGCCTGGGCATAGCTACGGCTCGGACTGGGGCCCCCCAGGCTGGGCCTGGCTCTCTCCCTCGCACGGGGGCTCTGAAGCAGGGCCCCGCTTTTGTTCTCTTCTCTGCTACAGGGACTCGGGCTCCCAGAAGGCGAGGCTGCCTGCCTCACCACCAGCCCTCCTCACTTGCCACTAACCCCAGCCTCTATTTCCCGTTCCCTGCAGATGTGACAAGCCGAGGCGGTGAGCCGGGCTGGAAGAAGGAGCCTCCCTCAGGGTTTCGGGAACCAGACCTCTCAAGAAAAGACTGATACAGAACGACCGATAACGGAAACCATGCCGCTGCCGCCACCACACCACCATGGACAGAACAATCCTTAATCCAGAAACCTGAAATGAAGGAAGAGGAGACTCTGCGCAGAGCACTTTGGGTCCGGAGGATGAGACTCCGGCAGAAGCATTCCCGGGCGGGTGACCAAGCATGGTCCCTCTTGGAATTGGATCGCCATTTTATTTTTCTTGCTGCTAAATCACCGAGCCCGGAAGATTGGAGAGTTTTATTTCTGGGATTTCTGTAGACACACCCACCCACATACATACATTTATATATA